CCCTGGCAGGTTTCTCCCAAGGTACCCCTATGATACACAATTTCCACGTGAAGCATCAGTGCAGGGTAGCTGATCTGTACAAACATTTGCATGTGGGAGTGAGACACTTCCCCTCATCTGCAGCCACAACGAAAGGAATTACTCTGTGGAATAAGACTTAATTCCTGGTTACATTCAGAAAGAATTCAAGAAGATAGTCTTAAATAATCCACAGTTGTATTTCTCATATTTTATGTTCCTTCTCATTAAATGTACTTTTTAAATTTTTTTTTTCTTCTAATTTCAGAGATCAGATGTGTATTCCCAGAAGTTCAAGGTGTTAAGAAAGCCATCAAAGGAAATACTTATCGCTCTGGGACTAATGTCACTCTCGAATGTGATGATGGTTACACACTGGAAGGCATCAGTCAGATTCGGTGCCAAGACGACTTCAGCTGGGACCCTCCTGTACCAGCCTGTAAATTGAGTGAGTGAACTGTAAATGAAGCATAGATCAAACAGAAATATGCAAATACATTGTAAACATGCAAATATCTTTCTGTATTTAAAAAAAAAAAAAAGTAAGTATATGATGGCATGGTTTTATGAAATCCTGTATCGTATACCTTAGCAGTAAAAGCTTTGTGTGATTAAAAATTAACTACAGCTGAGAAACACCATATTTAGTTAGAATACTTTGCTGATTTTTCTTTTTTCTCTTCCCCTCAGTGTCACGGAAGTCTGGCTCAGTAGGCCTAGGTAAGCAGCTTAGAAACATTTTGGGGCCAGATCTTTAGCTCTGTGCAGTGGCCTCAGTGGCACCGTTTCCCTCTGCTTCCTTGAAAATACACCTCGTTATGTCTTTTGTGCTGATGGGCTTTAAAACATACAGCAGAATAATACGTGCTCTTCTCTCTCAGGAGTCGCCGCTGCAGGAGTCCTGCTTCTCCTGGGGGCAGGCATTGTCTGGAAAATTAGTTCTAAGCAGAAGGAAGGGTAAGGTGGTCTTCTGGATGTTCATTCATGTCCTTCATTGCCAAGTCCCAAGTTTTATACACTTTATACACTTAGAATATTTGCCTGAGTGTGCCTGGGTCTTGTAATTTTGTGTCTTCAGCTCATGCCTGCAAACGGTACAAGGCACAGCAACCTGGAATCGACAGGGTGGTTGTGTTGTTTTCTTTCTTCCTTAGAGGAAACCAACCTGAGTGGTGTTCTTCTTTTTCACTTAGCTATTATCGTACATATGAAAACTACCAAAGCCCTCTGAACCAGGTCACTGAACAGAAATGTTCATGTCTTCCATAGAAGGTATGGATTTATATTCCTCAGCATAAAATAGCGGTTATAGCTGCAAATTTGACTTGTTCCAATATAGTCATTCAAGTAGAAAAATCTTTCCCTTCCATCTTCTCATAAGGTGCTTTCTTCTGCTGAATAAAAGAGACTGTTTTAAACATACTGATTTGTTTTTAAATATCCTGTTTTTCTTTCTGATATCACCCTCAATGTGTGTGTTTCCTTTTCCATAACCTGAATAGATGGTGTTCACAGGTCAGACTTCCAGACTACTCCTTGCTTCTGACATAACATTGCTTTTGTTTTGTAGGAGTTATGGGAGAGGTTGCTCTCTAAAAAACTACCTTAACAGCAGCAGCAGCAGCAAAGGACACTGACCTGAGACTTTGGGGGTTTTTTGCTTGTTTTTACACTCACTGCAATGTCATTTTTACTTACTGTACTGAAGTATAGTAAGATCTACTTTCTATACTGAATCTATTGCAGATAACAATGAATTTTCACTGTTAGCAGCACTCTGAACACAATTAGCCTTGACTACAAAATGGCACCTGTAAACATTAGCTCAATTATTTTTTTTAAAGGCTGGTTTTAGATAATTCCTGTTGTGCAACAATGCATTTCCCAGAAATGCTCTCCTCCCTCCCTGAGTTAATATGTTAATCTCTAGATATCCATGCGAAAACAGAAAAAAGTCTAATTTTAACACCAGCATGTCATCCTTTTTCCTAGGCGGGGCATCTGTGCTGCCACCAACCAGACAATGGACTTGTTCTCCGTACAGTCACAATTTAACCCCAAAATTGTCTTATCAGCAACTATATTCACATCTGCAGCACTACCAACGCTTCTTTGTGGTGTTCCTCTATCAATGCTTCACCTAATAAAAGCTGAATGTGGGACAACAACTGCTTTAGGTTTTGTCTCTCCTTTTGCATCCACCTAGAGTTTGTTTGGTGGTTGTGGTTTTTTTTTAATATTGCTCTGCTCACCAACATGCACGGTTTCTTTTTTAAAGGAGCAGGAGCCCTGCACAGGGCTGTTCACCCCGGGCTGGCACACAGGCACCTTTATTTTTTCCACACAATCACCTTTATTTTTCATCAGCCTTTGTTGGCGTTCAAAGAGCAGGAGCTACGCAAATAAACACGCTTTGACGCTTCTCCTCTGTGCCCGGGGACGTGGGAGGCTCTCCGGGGACCCTGCCCAGGAAAGCGCCCGGTCTCCTCAGGCCGAGGCCTCTTCCCGACACCCGGTCCCCTCAGGTCGGGGAGAGACAAACCCCAGCACACCTGCGGCCTCGTCGCTGCCAGATAACGGACAGCTGGCCGCGGCCCCGCCCTTCACTCCGAGGGCGGAAAGGC